TAAATTGATATTCAAACTAATAAAACAACAACAAATAATGTTTATTTAATATCGGCAACCTGATGGAATGAAATAACAAGTGTCAAGGTCGTCCCAGGTGGGTTATCCAGAGTAAAGTGAACTGAAATTAGCACACAACGCTGGGCTCTTGCTCAAGGCAACTATTCTCCTTCAGCAGCAGCATACTGTAGATGCCAAAGAGAAGGAAGTAGTATCAGAAGCAGACACTTGTCAATGCAAAGAAATCATGACACTTCCTCTAAATAAAGTCAGTGGAAAAGTCATACTGTACTTAGCATGGCCGGATTTGCCCCGTTCTCTGCATATCCCGCGGCAGTGTGGCGTAATTGAAAACAGGGGTGAATAATCAGTGAAACAACTCCGTTGAAAAGCTAATTGATCTCATATGCAAACAGAATTAAGTTAAAAGCTGTGTCTGGCGCTCTATCTGAGCCTTCACTTTAGTACAGAGAGAGAGGAAAGGAAACATTCAAGGTCTAGACGAGGGACAGAGTGGGTGGAGAAGGGGTAAGGCTGGATGGACACAAAGGGAGAGAGAGGTAAAGCCTCCCAAATGATACATTTATTCAATTCAAGATTTCACAAAGCTTGAAAAAAGGGGGTGTCTCATAATAGAATCACTTCATCAGGAACTCAAGTGCTTGAACGCAAGATCCATCTGTTCGGTGTATCGTCTGATTCCCCCTTCTAGCACCCTCCTCTTTCTCTTTTCCTTCCTTTACCTTACTCTCAGGTGTGTGTGTGTGTGTGTGTGTTTTAACAGAATTGAGGGAACGCATAACTGTGTTTCATTACCGCTGTAAGAGACGTTAAGATAATCATTCAAATCGCTCAGAGTCGAACCCCACCCGGCTGCTAATTCAATCTGCCCACAGCAAAACATGCCAAACAACATCCATTATGGTCACACAGTTAATTGGCAGAGGGTGGGGGCTCAGGCTTGAGTTAGGAGGGAAGCATTGCAGCGGACAAAAGCAATCTTGTCTTTTCACCGGTTTGAGATGGCGGATGGCGATGCACTTGCAATGCTTTGTATTGTCATTGGACAATAGACGAAGACACACAGAACAATAATATATACGGCTTGTGGGATGATGTTAGGTTCAAATATGTTTCAGTAGTTCTGTTTCTGTACTTAGAGCAGTTGTTTAAATATAAACCACTGACGATTTGATCAAATCTCTGCGAAGAAGATTGCCTTTTTGTACTGCATTTTTTACAGTGTTAAATGTTGATCATTGAAGTTTTGTTTATATCATTTTTAATTATTTAATTATTTTCCAAATTTTAGTTTGTAATATATCTTTACGTTTGCAGCTTCAAGTGGCTTTCTATATAAATCTGTTCAAATTTATGATTAATATTTGACTCATTATATATTACCCTTGTTGTTTTAGAGCCAAATAACAGGGCTGTAGTACTCAAGTCCGGACTCGAGACCGTTTTTCTATGGTCTCGGACTCGTTGGTATTCCGACTCGAACTTGTCTCGGCCACTGGTCTTGCCAAATATGGCTTTTGGTCTCGACCGAGTCCACGTGTCCACGTTACTGTAATAATATTGAAGAAAAAGAAACACTGGCCACCTAATAACCAATCACACTAGATTATCCTCGCACGTCACGCTCTGCTTCTGCTTGCCCGTTAATTTTGCATTTGTAAACTTTGCATCAGCCTAACGTTGTAAAGTTATAAGTTCGATTACGTATAGTAGCTAGCTATGTGGGTGTGTATGTCATATTTGCGTTAAAGGTGGTTCATTTGAGTAATGTGAATGTTAACTGACATCGGTGATGATTTCTTCAGTTTTAAATTGACAATAGAAAATATGTTTAGGACGAACAGAAATATTTTCCAGGACGCCTACAGAACGAAAGACATTTTTGTAAGTGTGTTCATTTATTACTAGCCTATTAGGGTAATGTTAACTTAGAAAATGCCAAAATTAACCAACCAAATGCTCACTACAACGGAGCGTGTCTTCTCATGCTGTTATTACTTCTCATTAGTTAACGTTACTATCTTACTAGCTACTACTTACAAATCCTGGGTGTTGTGACACTTTTGCTTTTAGATCAACAAATAATAACTCAAAATTACTGCCTTGATATTGTCATGCATTAGAATTTTTTTTTTTCCTGTCCTGGACTTGGTCTTGACTCGGACTCAAACCTTTTTGAACTCGGTCTTGACTTGGACTCGACTAGTCCTGATTTGGGCTTGTCTTGGACTCGACAAAGGTGGTCTTGACTACAGCCCTGCGAAATAAACACTTTTCTAGTTTAAAAATATATTATATGATCTGATTAGTTTTTTCATTTTAAATATTGTTTTCAAAATAGTTTTTGTAAGTATCTGTCACATTTGTGAAAAGACAATCTTTCTTTTTTAGAAATCCAATACTTTTAGATACAGTATATACTATATATCCACCTTGCTCGTAGCTATAAAGGAAAGGCAAAATGTAAAAGTTGTTCATATACTTAGCAGTTTTCATGGCCTTATGGCTTATTTTGTTGAATTAATTATTTTTTCAATTAAAAGTAATCACTGAAATGTCTTTTTCCAAAACCAATTTTCTTTTTAGATTTAATAATAAATCCTGTAAGATTTCTAACAATTTTACTTTTTTTCCAACTCATTTTTATATGCCTATTACCTTTTATTACTTTTATTACTTTAAAAAAAATTGTAGTTGAAAGCATGTACTTCGTAAACGTTGTATGTTCAGAATGGTAAGTAAACCAAAACACCCTTAAATATATGTAAATCTATGTTTATTTTTCAGCATTATTTATTTAATCTCTCTCTCTCTCTCTCTCTCTCTCTGTGTGTGTGTGTGACCCTGTGACACACAGCACATGCTGCAGGTTTCCATCTCTATTTGATCCCGGGCACATAGCCAGCTCTCTCCCGGGTCCACAGCAACAAACAAACAAACCTCAGTGTGCCATACACAACTACAAGTGGCCGCCACCACAACCTGTTCGCCTTCACCACCAGGTAGTCTAGTGCCCTCCAGTCCTGTCAAAATGTCCATGCTTTTAATGGCCATCCAACACTCTAATTCAATCAGTCTTCCGACTCTTCTGCTCTTTTTTTTTTCGGTCTCACTTCCCAACCCTCTCGTGTGTCAGAGTGACAAAGGCCTTTGAACGAGATTCTTAAACATAAAACACTCTGTCGTACAAAGCCAGCGAGGACGAGGCGGTGTAATGAGGAGACGGCCGTAACAAGCGGACCGAGGGTGACAATTAAGACCAAACAAAAATAAAAATAGCGTCACTGCTGCCATGGTATTAAAAACAGTGACATTTACAGACCCGTATTTAATTACCGGCTCACGCTGTTCGCCAGGTACCCCATTACACCATGTGATAAATCTTTTATAGCTAGAAATGTATGTGTGTGTGTGTTGGGTAGGGTAGGGTGGTGTTCTGCTGTGATGAATGTATATAGGCATTGATCAGCAAAATAAATACATGTATGAGAAGAAAGAAAGACAAATATTTGGGCAAGGAGCAGGGTGCCTCTTGAAAGGTGCATGAATGCTAAGTTTGTGTAAGAGCGTTTGTTTTTGCATGGTGGTGTTGCCTATTGAGGGACTGTAGCTGCCGGCCATTTGCTGTCAGTAGACTCTAGATGCTGCTTTTCAGCACTGTAGTTTTGCTTTCAATGGAAGTGGAGTGCATCTCGCCTCTACTGGTTTTTTTGTGCGAGGGCCAAAAGCATGGAGAACATTTTAAGCGTGTTCATAGGCTATCATCACCCATATGCTTGTGGTCTTGAATGGCACGAGTATGTCAGCTGTGGCAAGTGCTGAAATTCAGTCAAGCTTCTCTGCATTAGTGTATCTTGCTCAGGACGACAGATGGAAAAAGTATAAACACGGAAATGACATTCATACAATTCTCTCTCATCCATTTAGCTAAACTGTGGTTTTAAATCTTAATCAATAGCATAGTTAAAGGAGTTGTTCACTTTTGAAAAAACTTTTGCTGATAATTTACTCACCCCCATCTCATCCAAGATGTCATTCTTTCTTCAGTCGAAAAGAAATTAAGGTTTTTGATGAAAACATTCCAGCATTTTTCTCCATATAATTCACTTCAGTGGGAACCAAATGGTTCAAGGTTCAAAAGACACTTTCAAAGGGCTTTAAACGATTCCAGACGATGAATAAGGGTCTTATCAAGTGAAACGAACGCTCATTTAATACATAAATAACAAAGTTTAAGTTTTATAAGCTCAAATGCTCGCCTTGCTCAAAATGAACAAATCTTTTTCTGAGTCAATTCGTTCGTTGAGTGAACCAAATGACTCGGAAAAAGATTCGTTCATTTTGATGAACGAGTTCGAACAGGAGAGTCACAAACGTGTGTCACAGAACAAGGTGAGCATTTGAGCTTATAAAACTTAAACTTTGTTATTTATTTATTAAATGAGCGTTCATTTCGCTTGATAAGACCCGTATTCATCGTCTGGAATCGTTTAAAGCCCTTTGAACAGTTTGCAGTTTGCACTGAAACTGTCTTTTGGACCTTGAACCGTTTGGTTCCCATTGATGTCCATTATATGGAGAAAAACCCAGGAATGTTTTCATCAAAAATCTTCATTTCATTCGACTGAAGAAAGAATGACATGGACATCTTGGATGACATGAGGGTGAGTAAATTATCAGCAAAAGTTTTTTCAAAAGTGAACTACTCCTTTAATCAATAGCAAAAAAAAAAAGAAAGTTTGATTTCCACACAGATGTTTTTGTAAAACATGTACAGTTACAACTGTGAAATAATGAGTAATTAATTATGTCACAATTATGTTTTTTTTCATTGAGACTAACATAAGCTTCCTTGATATAACCAAATAATCCTTTTTTAGTGATGTGAAAAACTGACTGTTCATTTCTGTACATAACTTTTATTTATCAGCCTTTTTTCTCATCATAATCTGTTGAATTCTTAGGCAGCTTCTCTCCTGCTGTACCCGCCACCCCCCCTGCAAATGCTGGGGAAATGAGAATCGGATGGTGCCAGGTGGCATTTAGATCCCCAAGAAGACACGAGTGCAGTCTATCTACCTCACAGTGACAGACGTTGGGCCTGGAGAGAAAGGAAAAGAAAAAAGGAAGCAAGTCGGAAAGAAGGAAAATGGAGGTGGGGGAAAGCAGAAAAACCCTAGTAGGTCCACTCCAGGCAAATGTGTTGTCCTGCTGAAGGCATGCTTGTTTTCTTTGTCATTGTCTCAAGCTGCTGTTGCACAGTGAGCCAGATGTACATGTGGGAGTACGCAAACGGGCTAGTGACAATAGGAATGTGCTTCTTTCTTCTTCTTTTTTTTGCTTTGCCATGTAATCTACGCCTATTCCTTGTTGTGAAACTGTACTTAAGCTGTACCAATTGGATTCCAAATCCTGTTATATGGATTAGTGAACAACACATCCTGGAAAATAAATGCACAGATGTTATTTTGCAACACATATCTTTAAAAAAATATTGCGGGTTAAGTACGAGTTCAGCTCAATTGACCGCATTTGTGGCATAATGTTGATTACCACAAAAAAATAGTTTCGACTTCCTTTAAAAAACAACAAAAATCGAGAATATTGCAGATTATATTTAAGAATATTTCAAGTTCAAAAGTTAAGTTCAGTCGAAAGGATATGTAGCATAATGTTCATTACCACAAAAAATAGTTTTTACTCGTTCTTCATTCGTTGAAAACAAAAAACTCAATCTAAATGGGGCCAGTATGGGAGGCAGGAATGTGAAATATTGTAATTTTATTAAATTTGTAAACTTCTTTAAATAATCATTTTTACAGTTGTTTTGGGGTTTACCGGCATATAACAAAATATATAGATATTAACAAAAAAAGGTTGGTAAGCAATTTTATTAAACTCGTTAACATGTATTGTTTAGATTTTGTGGATATACTTTTGAAACAACATTACTTTTATTTTTATATATGGTCCCAATTGTAAGGGCCTCATTCTAACCCAGATTTTAGCTTCTTCTTTTTTTTTCCTAAAGAAAAGGAAATTCATTTTTGTTGTAATCAACATTATGCCACAAGCGAGGTTGATTGAGTTTAACTTGTACTGAACCTGGAATATTCCTTGAATTGCATTATCAGCAGTACAGCATTTGAAGTCCTGCTACATTCTGAGCAAGTCAGCTCTTGCAATGTGTGTTGCAAAAGAATATTAATCATACAGGGAGGATGGTGAAAGAGTGTCATGTCATTGTTTCCATTGTTGGGAAATACCTGTTTTTCGTGTTCTGCAATCCGTTTTCCTCATTCAGAGCAAAAGCCATGACTTCCTGCCATCTGGGTAAACAGTTTTTATTGTCTGAGCATGAAAACAAGAACTCTAATTATAGCGTTCAGTTTATGCTACAGTATGCCAATGACCATGATACCCCTGGCACAGTAGTGGAACTGTATACAGGCCCCGAATAACCCCTAAGCAGCTAATGTTATATGATGGGGCTTTTTCTGGGTGATTAATGAAAAGGATGGGGAGGACAAGAGATGGAGAGATAGAAAGAGAGGCAATGGGGGAGGGGTGATCATGACAAATCGTTTGGGGGTTCTTCAAAACAACACACGGAGATAGATGGCGGCAGTGTGTGTCTTTCATTATCAGTGACCCCCTGTTCAATCAACGCCAGAGAAAGACGGCCACGGTCCAGAGAACAGGGCTACAGGACAAAGTATCATCCCATCATCACTCAAACACATACGCACACACATATCTTCTCAAACACTCGCCTCTACCCCTCAAACGACCCCACGCACATTGATGAGATGACCCCCAGACTGAATGTGCCCTCTTACCCCTCAGGACCCAAAGAAAGGGCGCCATCCACGCAGGTGCCATGGTAACAACGCCATGGCAGGTCGAGTATCGTGAACGATGGTGTTGGTGATGTCGTCATCACAGTGGGAGGAGCATTGCACCCGTAATCACCAGCTGCCTGTTTCCATCACCATTCAAAGTATGTCCTGTTTTCACACAACTCTCATTCTTTTCCCTTCTTTGCATGTTAAGAAAGTGCATTGTGAGAGAACCTCGTCAGATGTGTCTGTAGAAACGTGTTCTGTGCTTTAAGAGTGTTCTTTGTGCTTTAAAACAGTGGTTTTCCAACTGGGGTGCACCAGGGGGTTTGCAAGCTGGGTTATGGAGAGTTTGAGAAGAGAATTTATATATATATATATATAATTATTCATAAAATAATGTTTTAAACAAAAAAAAACATTTTTAAAATATATTTATAAAATATTGTTTTATATAAAATGTTTAACACAATTTTTGCCAAATTGTATTTTATATTATTATCATCGTAAATTTGGTTTAAAAAAGTTGTTTCCTAATTAGGGCCCACCAGGGGTCCACAAGGTTGGTTATGAAAATTTTAGGAAAAAAAAAAAAATATATATATTAGGGCTGTGCAAAGATGAATTGAGGTTAATCGCATCCAAAATAAAAGTTTGTGTTTACATAATATATTTGTGTGTGCTGTGTATAATTATTTTGTATGTCTAAATAGACACACATGCATATATATATATATATATTTAAGAAAATGTGTTATTCATATATAAAATATTTATATATAATATAGATTATGTATTTATATATACACAGTACATGCATATGTATTTATATATACACAAAATAATAATACACAGCACACACACATATTATGTAAACACAAACTTTTATTTTGGATGCGATTAATCGCAATTAATCTTTGCACATCCCTGATATATATTATTTATAAAAGATTGTGTTAAACGCATTTTTTTTCGTATTATTATCACAATTATTTTATTGTTGACAGCCCTAGATTTTAACAGAAAACCTCGTGTTGAAAAACTATTGTGTCAGCTTAATACAAGTTAAGTATTTACCAGATAATGTTAATATTAATACAGTGTTTGCTTTGACATCAGAAACGTGACGACATAAGAAGCCAATATTTCATAATTGTCGTAGAGACAATATCAAAAAGGTCTATAATACCCTCTTAAAGTGATAAAAAATATTTGAGGGTCCTTGGCACCTTAAGGACCAACGAAGTGAAAAAATGTTGAATGAGGGGGAAGGGTAGAGGGCCGGAGACCTTCTCATCACCAGCTCATCAGTCGGGCACATTGAAGCTGATAAGACGATTGATTACGCAGTCCGATTTTGATAGTGAACTTCTCTCTTCTGTAAATATAAATGAATATTAAGGAAGCTTATACTAGCAATGCACAATACGTGGAGCAAGGGATCCACCAAATACCGGAATGGTTTGAGGAGGAAAACACACACAAACAGGCATGGGAGGAGGAGAACTAGCGCAGACAGATAGGGTGATAGATTAAGCACTGTGCCACCCTCAGAAGCAGGTATCATCATTCAGAGTGGCAGCCGGTCGGTGAGCACTATAGGACTACCTGCTGAGGATCCTGCAGTAATACAGCTGCTCCACATAATCATAATCTACACTACACCGCTAAAACAGGCAAAGAAAAGAATACAACAGAGAATCGCAGAAAGGATTTGTCAAACAAAATGGAATGTCCTAAGAATTACGTGCTACATTTAACAAACACAGAAATTGTACAGATTTGGCATAATGTAAATGCAAGAGGGGGGAAAAAAATGTACGGGAGGAGAAAGATGGAGCTCTCTTCCCCTCAATCTCGTATAGCGAAGCTGTGAAACAGATGCTAGCAGAAGCATTAACAAAAGAGCGGAGCTTCTGACCGCGAGCCCCAGCGCTTGGCAAGTCCTAGAGGTAATAATGGTTAGCAACCTGAAAAATGTTCTTATCGGAAAAAAAGCCCCAGACAGTAATAAATGAAATAATTGTACTAAACACATTAATCCATGTCGGTGGCCCCAGGGGGAGGGTCTGTGAGTGTTAGAGGTAGTGAATGGCACTAACCTGCCAACAAAAAGAGTCTCTCTCTCGCTCTCCTTCTCGACCCTCTGCAAACAGTGTATTTTTTGCCCTGCCTTTCGGGAGGCAGGGGTCGTTATTAATCTTGCTGGCTTGCTTAGCTTCAGGCATCACAGCAGGGCAGCATCTGGGAGTGTGTGTGTGTGTGTGTGTGTGTGAGAGAGAGAGCCAGGATATGGATAATGCATGGGCAAAGACTGTGTGTTTGTGCACTAGTCTGAGGCAGACCAAGCATCTTAAGTCATGTGTATCTCTTAATGGATGTGTTTAGATGTAAATTACACCAATGTGCATGCATTCTCATCAGTGTTATGCTGTGCAAGTCGCAGGATTGTGCATGTGATTTAACAAGAATGTTACATTTGACTAGACTATAAAACCATCCCATATTGCATGCATGCTTGCTATGGACAGTGATGAAACTGAGAAAGAGAAGGGGTGTAGATTCAAATGAATGCATTTGAATGTGACAGAGATATAATCAAATCTTCTGCATCTCCAGCAAGGTCTATTTCACTGGACAGACATGGTGTAAAGCCTGATACCTATTGGACACTGGTACGGAAATAACAATCACCACGGCAACCATCGCCATGTGGACCTTAGGCCATACATCCCACCGGCACCGTAAGTAAGTATAATACTGTTTTGTGTGTGTGTTTGTGGGGGTGGGGGCTTGAGTGAACACTATAATGGACAGGCATGGAAGTGAAAAGACATAATTGACTAAAACCCTGTTTACATCTGTTCAGATGAGACCATTGTAAATAAGTCATCCACTTTAACCATGTTCGGAGGTGGCTGAAAACGCATGTGACCACATTGCATTTTTAGTTTAAAGTTGTCCTGATACGTTAGTGAAAGACAACCTTAAAACCATTTGGATGTGATGCTCCAATTGAAAAATGATATTTTGTATTAGTAGATATTTTACAACATGTTTTACTCCTAAAAGTGAGAAATTACATTTTCCTTGTCTTTTGCTTTTGGACAGTGTCAAGTCACGTCACTTTTATTTATACAGAGCTTTTTACAGTACAAATTGTTTCAAAGCAGCTTTACAGTGATAACTGGAAAATAATGCAACTTGTTTAGTTTCAGATTTAGAAGAAAATAGTGTCATGGTCCAGCTTAAGTAAGTTCAGCGAGGGTTCATTTTTGTTTATAAAAAGATTATTAATTTAGTCCGCTCTGGAGAAAACAGTGATGTCATCGTCCGGCTCAGTTCAGTTCTCATATAATGGTGTCAATGCAGGCAGATCAATCATATTGTTGAATATTAAGTTGAATAGTAAAGGAGTAGTTCACTTTAAAAAAAACTTTTGCTGGTAATTTACTCACCCCCATGTCATCCAAGACATCCATGTCATTTTTTCTTCAGTCGAAAAGAAATTAAGGTTTTTGATGCAAACATTCCAGGATTTTTCTCCATATAATGGACTTCAATGGGAACCAAACGGTTCAAGGTCCAAAAGACAGTTTCAGTGCAAACTGTTCGAAGGGCTTTAAACGATTTCAAATGATGAATAAGGGTCTTATCAAGTGAAACGATCGCTCATTTAAAAAAAAAAAAAGTTTTATAAGCTCAAATGGTCGTCTTCCTCTGTTAGGGTTACGGTTAGGGTTTGATGAACTTGTTCATCAAAATGAATGAATCTTTTCCCCAGTCAACATGTTCATTTCGTTCGTTGAATGAACCAAATAACACAAAAAAAGATTTGTTCGTTTTGTTAAACGAGTTCAAACAGGAGAGTCACGAACGCGCATTACAGAACAGAGCAAGGCGACCATTTGAGCTTATAAAACTTAAGCTTTGAATCTTTTTTTTAATGAGCGATCGTTTTGCTTGATAAGACCCTTATTCATCGTCTGGAATCGTTTAAAGCCCTTTGAACAGTTTGCACTGAAACTGTCTTTTGGACCTTGAACCGTTTGGTTCCCACTGAAGTCCATTATATGGAGAAAAATCCTGGAATGTTTTCATCAGAAACCTTAATTTCTTTTCGACTGAAGAAAGAAAGACATGGACATCTTGGATGACATGGGGGTGAGTAAATTATCAGCAAAAGTTTTTTTTTAAAGTGAACTACTCCTTTAAGTGTCCCTAACTAAGCAAGTCAAAAGCCAAAGGCGACAGTGGCAAGGACCTAACACTCCATCAGGTGACAAAACGGAGAAAAAGAACTTGTGAGAAACCAGGCTCAGTCGGACAAACAGTGTATGATTATGATTCTGGCAACATTACAGGTCAGAAGTCAGATTCGATTGGAACATATCAGAATATTTATCCAGTTCCGTCTGGTTGAATCAACGAATCCTGTCACTCTACATGGCAAGTTCAGGTGATTGGCTCAAAAAATAAATAAATCTGTCCTCACAATTTTCATTTTGCCATAAGTGCATGCTTACAGAGTGTCATGCACCAGCTGAGCAAGTACCACAGAGATGCATGGAGAAATTAACAGATAGTTAAGTCCAGGTATATACATCCTAGGTGCATTTCTGGCTGATTGATCAGATTGCAGTCTCAAATGCGAGGGGATTTACACTGGCTGTCCAAACAGTAAAAAGGCATGAAGTAACCCTGTGTAAATATCCCCAAACATATATGCACTTTTCTGCTTTTGATCTGACCAAGCTGCTTGGTCAACATATTTGCAGGCGCACGTCTATTTGTCCCATCTAATTTATAATGTCCCATCTAATTTATATGTTGCCAACAAAATATAACCTGTTACTGGCCGAGAATGAGATAAACTCTGAGAGAGAGAATCTGAATCCAGTAATTCCTTGCAGCACAAGCTGGATGAAATATAAAACCCCGGGCTACACGTATGGTGTTTCCAGACAGGAAAAAAATCGGAAAAGATAGAGTTAAATATCAGATCTAATAATCATGTTTTTAAAGGAAATCATATTAAGGTTGTTAAGAGGTGCGGCACCAAATGTCAGAACCGTGTTAGTTTCACGCGCTCTCTGATAGATGCGAAGCGACGAGCCGAAGACGCTCGCGCTGACTCCCAGCTCGCGCAGGGGTATTTCCGCAGACAGCGAACAGGAGAGGGAGAGAAGCGTGAGGCCAATCACTGGGCGGGGGAGGGGCTTCGTGAAGTCTTCTCAGCCAATGGCAGCTCCGCGACGGTAGAGCGGCCCACGTGGGCCTGGAATCTTGTACTTATCAACGAACATGCATTGAATCCACTCTAGCCAATCATTTGGGTCCTAAGTGTTAATCTCAATACGGATTGGCTGGCAGTTTCATACAGGTCTTTATTCATCTCCGCTGTTAACTCATTCCTACCACACGTTTTTTGCTGTGCCTGCCTCATGAAGCATTCCTCATCCAAGTCCCTTTTTGGGAAGCGTTTTCTTGTCAGCAAAATAAATGGCCCGAAGTTTAGGTGCAAATTGTATATAAAACATCCATCCACTTTTGATAATCTGCATCCATTAGGGCATTAACCATTAGCCTGATTGCGTTAGGATGAAATTTACATGGGTCCTGTTGATACCGATGTGTCAATTAACCCACACACAAAATTAAATGTTCTTAAATAAACTGTCTGATTGAATAGACGGATGTGACATCTAAAAATACCTCACTATTGAGGAGGAAGCATTATGTCTATTCTAGGTTGTAATAATAATGCAACAGAACAGACCAAATTGTTGAGGGTAATATTTAGCGCCGGTCCTCCCCTGCGTTTTGACTATAAATTCAACAGAGTCGTGGGAAAATGACCGCTGATTCTAAAAGCGGCCAAAAACGACTTTTAAAGGTGGACTCAGTTAGTTTTTGTTTAAGTTTAGTGTATTGCAATCAAGAATGAACTTAATTGCTTCAGTAGTTCCAGTGCTTTAGGAATTCACACTAAGACCTATTGGCTATTGGCCTGGAAGCATGAAGTTTGCCACTAAATCGCTTCGTTGTTTTGTTGTCTAGTATGTTGGCTTGTTTAGTTTGAGCTTGTGATTAGTGAAGTGTCTTGAGCAGTGGATAAAAAGTTGGTCTACTATATAAAATAAACACATTAGTAGAAATTAGTAGTATTTGTAGTAACCTGGTCAATTATTTGACAAAATATGGCAGCGCCCATACCAGCCCACCACTACATGCGGAATAAAACAGCTTTTTCCTCTAGAAGACTGACATGAGTCATGTATTTTCATGTGGCTGTACATCAATTTAATGCTATTTCTAAAAAGTGCCTTTTAATTCTTTATATGTAAAACTTAGAGCACCTTTAATTGCTGTTAATGCAGCTTTAAACCGCTTGGCTCATGTTTCGCACATTTCTTTCACTTGAAGGTCCCGTTTGCGGAGGGGGGCTATAAAACAAAGATTAAAAATAGTCAAGTGAGTATAATCCCATCATGCTCACAGTCACAGAGGCACCACGTCTGACAAACCCAGCATTAATCTCTTATTTTCTTAAGAAGAGACTCTGGTGAGACGTGCAACGCAATAGTGACACCTAGAGGGCCGATCGAGGACTGCTTTTGATGGAAGGTGCTCTTTCCCGTTTACCCCTTATGAATTATGCAGCAGACATACAATTTAGCTGCTCCCATGGTGGACGAGGAGGTCACATCCAGCCGCATGGCTACCACAGCTGTACGTTAAACCTCTTCAGCCATCAACACTCTTCTGATCAGGTCTGGATTCCTCCGTCTTTGTTCAGATGACTTGTGCTAAGAAGAAAGAACGTTCAATTTACATTTATTTATTTATTTAGCAGACATTTTATCCAAAATGGATTATAAAAGAGAATAATAAAAGCAAAGAGAAAACAAATACAAGTAGTGATGCAATACAAATTTATATTATTTCTTGAATAGTAAACTATAGATACAAAATTAAATTTACATTTGTTCATTACAACGACTTTTTTTTTTTTATTAAAAAAAAAAATGCAATAATACAAGAAGAAATAATTAATTCAAGGCGGAAAAGGCCTACAAGTCATGCTAAAATACCTCATTTCAACTGAGTCCTAGAAAAAGGGGATGGACACTGGGGCAAACTATCCAAGCCACATCTTTACTGAAACAAGGTTGCAAAACCAAAGGACATTCAGAGTTGAGGAGATCAGGGTGGGGAAAATTGAGCAGGAAAGGGTGAGATGGAGGAGAGAATACGAGGAGGAAAAGATCACAGGTTGAGAAGAGTGCGGGAGATGGGATAAAAATGAAAGGGATAATGAAGAGGCCGGGTAGATTGAGTGACAGAGGAAGAGGGAGAGCAAGAAAGAAGGATGTTACATATATTGGTGGTACTGGGGTGCTCCCGACAGAGCAGGGGAATAGCAGCATTGCAGTTAATAGGGTAGAAAAAGCTGGGGGGCTGTTAACTCTGAAATGTTCATTTTTAAACTCAAGCCTTTTTCTCTCCTTTCACCCCCTCCCCTCCTCCCTCTCTCTCTCTCCTTCTCTCTCTCTCCCTCTCTCTCCCTTTGACAATTGTGCTCCCTCCCCAGGCTGTGTAGTAATGATAGCTATTTGACTGCCATCAGAGGAGCTGGGTAATGGTCTCTAAAGAACCATTTCAGACTCAACCTGGCAGCGCTGGCCTCCCAAAAACATCTGCTTGCCTATCAAGAGGTACCACCGCACCAGACACACTACACACACATAAGCACACTCATGCATGGACATGCACAGTACTGTGGTGCGTATAGAGTCATGCCCGACTTAGGTAATGGACCACGGGAATACTTGTGAGCTGAATACCAACAAAAATAAAAGAGGTGGTAATAGTGTTGTTGTGGTTAGTGTAGGGACTGGGGCTGAAATAATGCTAATATCAGACTCCTCTTGTAATTATGTATAAATGATACTGAGGGGCCCCAAACAATGACTTCACGGTAGAAGAAATCAGACAGGTAATGTGTATGTATGTATAATTTATCTTTAATATGGTATATGCACATCCTGTTCATTTTGTGTTCATTTCATGTCCCTGATTGTGGTTAATTCTTGAAAGATTTTAGGCTTCCTAATGGACAACAGGGACCTTGTAGAAAATAAAACATGTTGACTGGTGTAAAATATTTCAGATTATAGTACAAAGGTAAAGTTTTCTCGTGATATTTTGCACCGTCTCTGGTAAATTTCTGCTACTCTGCCTCCATCTGGTGGCCCATTCCAGTACGTTCTTTTCATTCAGAAATTTTAGGTAATGTGAAATGTGGGTATTGTATTCATTTATTTGTATCATAGTTCATATATTTGGATGCCTCCTATATATTCGACAATAATTCAAACATTAATTAAAATGTGTGGAGAAAGATATGTCTGTGATTAATTGGGAGCTTCTGCACTACTGTATTTGCATTCAGTTGAATTAACCTGGCTCACAGGTCGTGATAGCTTTTCTCTTTGAAAGAGCAAATCTCTAAACTGTCAGTCAGGCTGTTGAAGGGATTACTTGCAATTGACAAGCTCTCAGCCCATTGATGAAAGCCGAAGAGAGATTTGATTATGGCGACAAGGTCGAATATGCTTCTATATTGATAATATAGAAACACTTATTGTGTGTGTGTTAATTCAGGTTTTTTTTCTGAACCTAATTGGAAATTATTTTTGTCTCAGTCTTTGTTTTGAGATTTCTCCAAGGTGTCATTCAATGATTTACAAGTACTCTGTACTGAGCTGCACTGGATTTTGTAGTTAAATCTTTAGCTACTCACTGTATCATCTCAAACATGGCACATGCAATTTATTGTACATTGCTTTATTATCAAAGCTTCTGGCGACAATGTAAAAGCGTAAATAGTAATGTAAGGGTCATAGTGCATGTCTAAAGTTAACATCTCTGCTTTGAGGATCTTGGACAAATGTAAACAAAGGATAGAATAGCCAAAGCCAATAACGGTTAATAAACAACTTATTGTTCCTATATGCTTAGATGAGTGTGTATATATATGTGTGTGTGGTTCAGACTTACTTGTCCCATATGCGGTCAGTCACCGACAGATGGAAGGTTCTGTGTCCAAGACGCGCCCAAGGAGAGGAGGAGGAGGGGTTTGGGGCTGCTATGGATTAGATTGGTCTAATAAAAGAGTTGGATCATTGAAAGGCAGATTAGGGCCCTGTGGTGGAGACTTGTGGTGGTTTTTCAAACAAAAATGCTTTGGATTTGAAATGGATCGACAATATGTGTAGCATTACGCAAACATGAGGCAAGCCAGCCAGTGAAATGCTAAGCAAACAACTTATGTGACTGGAAAAGAGCTGGAGAGACGTTTTCAGTCACAGCGAATTGGTCTTCAATGGCTACATGTCAGGCATCTTTGAATAAGCATCTGTTTGTTACCTCCACCTACACTCACCCACCCATATGCACATTGCTGTAATAAAGATGACCAACTGAGCTCGGAATCAGAGAAGTCATGTAACTGTATCCTGAGTGTGCACTGGAAAGCTGATCCCCCTCTCAGGCCACTACCACTGGTGCTGGGGGAGGGCTCTGGTTACCCAGCTTTGTGTCAAAGCGCCATCAGCAAAGAGTTAGAGACTGGGGAGGAGGACAAAGGCAGGAGCACTATAGAACGGGTGGATTACTGGGCCTCCATAAAGGGTCTCTAGTGTAAGAATACGTCCAATATAGCAAAAGAGGAGAAAGGACGTATAAAAAGAAACATAAGAGGATAGGACAACAGGTGAAAGCGAGGTAGAAAAGGTGTCGAAGTACACCCGTTTGTTGACAAGCTGGCCTGGCATCTCAGTGGGCACCTTGCACACTAACATGCTTCTATTTCTTGAGGTCTCGGAGACGAATGATGTGTATTTTTAATGGATGCACATGTCTTAAGGATGTGACTGAAGTAAACATACTTAGAAGAGGACAAGGAGGAGACAAACCAATCAGATGTCAGACTGAAGGACTGAGACGACTAAGGCATCGAGAAGAAGTAAAACCGTGTGACTTGAGCAGCATCTCTTTAAGAGATTAGTAGTCCCACAATCTCAAAGGCAGCCAATGAAGAGGACAAGAGATGCAGGTGAATTGAGAAGGAAAGGGAATGAGAAAGAAAGCGGGTGAAAGAGGTGCAGAGGAAAAGGAACCGTTGGGATCAGGGTGACGTCAGCAGCTCTCTGGATTGAGGTGTTGAGTCCTCCTGATTATAATCTGATCTGATTAGGAAACACAGGGAAAAAATCTCCAGAGCCTCTGCAAGCTCTCCGGGGAGCAAGACGCCGTTTTTATTGAGCGCAGAGGCCAGGACCAGGGACAAAACTAGAAGAGGAACTTAGGCCTCTTATAAAGAAAGTTAAGGCCTGTATTTGAAGAGAATAGGCTACACTAAGGAGTCTATAGTGAAGTGGACTTCACTTTACTCTTCCCCAATAAGAAGCAAATTAATCAAGACACATAGGAGAGCTAACTTTGTATGTCGACAGGCTGATCAGCTTCATCTCTGGACTTTCAACACTCTCTGGCTTCCATCTGGGTTGTAAGCCAGGATGCCCTCCAATGGCAGTAAAGCCCTCAAGCTACAATTCGGGCTTATTAATCATGAGAATCGCTATTTAACAGCGGAGGCCTTCGGCTTCAAGATGAATGCTTCAGCTCCGAGTCTCAAGAAGAAGCAGATCTGGACTCTAGAGCATGATGAGCAGGATGGTCAGGTGGTTTACTTGCGCAGTCACCTGGGTCGCTACCTGGCTTCCGACAAAGATGGCAAGGTGAGCTGTGAGGCTGAGACCAAAGAGAACGACTGCCGCTTTCTGATTGTGGCACAGTCAGACGGCCGCTGGGCCCTGCAGTCCGAGCCCTATCTGCGCTTCTTTGGAGGTTCAGAGGACTACCTGTCCTGCTTTGCTCAGACCATTGGCGAGGCAGAACTATGGGCCATGCACCTGGCCCTGCACCCACAGGCAAATCTGCTCAGTGTGGCCCGCAAACGCTATGCCCACCTCGCCTCTCCAGAGGGAGAGATTGCTGTGGACAGTAACATCCCCTGGGGTGTAGACGCTCTTCTAACTCTTGTGTACATGGACGGCAAATATTGTCTAAAGACCAGTGACAGCCGCTTCCTGAACAACGACGGGAAACTGTCCTCTGAAAATGGCCGTGGGACAGGCTACACCTTGGAACTGAAATCAGGCAAATTGGCCTTCAAGGACTGTGAGGGGAAGTACTTGACCCCCATGGGGCCCACTGGAACTCTGCGCTCTGGACGCTGCTCCAAACCTGGCAAAGACGAGTTGTTTGATCTTGAGGAAAGCCATCCTCAAGTGGTGTTTCAGGCCGCCAACAACAGATTTGTCTCCATCCGCCAAGGTAAGTGGTGCTGGTTGAATTTCTTTTGACATTTCCCTTCACAGGAAGACCACATGCTTCTGATATCATCAGTGGCCAGCCTAGTTTATCTGCTGTTAGAATCAAGTGAATATGATCTTTAAAACATTGTGAAAGTTAAATAACAGTTCTCTCTAAAATGTATATTCTGTCATTACTTACCCTAAAGTTGTTTCCAAATATGTATGACTTTTTTTATACTGTGGAACAGTACTATTTTGTCTCAGTGTTTTTGCCTGTAAAATGAAACTCAGTGGGGTCTAATGTTGTTTTGGACCAAACTGGCTTTCGTGGTATGGACAAAAACAGAATATTAATGATCTGCAGAAGAATGCAAGTCATACAGGTTTGCAATGGCTTGGGAGTAATAAAATGAGGACAGATTTTATTTTTTTAATTA